GAAAGCAGACAGCTGTTTGGTTAGAGTCTAGAAGATGCACGTTAGTTTTAATATGAATAAAAGAAACCTCCTTCACAGACAAAAAGACATTAAAGTGTAATCAATCATTTATGTCATTTAATCCAGGATGCAGAGTGGTAGGAAATTAGACCCTAATTGTATTTTGTTGTTAATGGTCAAAGTTTAGGGCAAACTATCTTGCAACTCTCAAGATGATGTATTAATGAACAGGTTATGGACCTGCTGCAACCACGTAAAGACATGATATTTTTCAATGGAATGAGGTATGGATGCAAGCAAACTATTAGGTTCTCCCTCACATGCACACTCAGATTTGCATTTAAAAGTCTCTGTTTGGATGGTATGTGCAGTTCTAGTACATAATTAAAGGAAAAATGAAGCTTCCAATCCAGAGTGTAAGAATAACAGCCACTGGGGTTAAGAAGGGCAAGGGATAGCCCTGAGTCCATGTATTGTTAAATGGGTTCAGCTATGTGTGATTTGAGTAGATACATGAAGTCATGTTACTTGTTCTCATTATAAAATGGTATCGGAGATTAGGTATTTGGGTTTACGGCAAATAAAAATGCATCCGTCTAAACTGTAAGTCTATTATGGTTTCCTTGAAAATTTGCCAGCTTTTGTATATCACAGCAAGTGAAATCATCTGTTTTACTCCTTTAAAAATCATCAGTCTCATCATATCTCCATGGACGCTGCGCTTGTTAAGAAGTTCTCCTGAATTTTTTTCATGTTTCTTCAATATTTTAGCATCTACTGAAAAGCATAAGGTTCCATCTAAAACGAAGCAATGGTTCATGCCACTTATTCACAATGCAATTCATGTACTTGGAAGGGATTGTCTTGAATTTTCTCTCTTTCAATTAGCTTGTGAGATTTGAGGAGTTAAAATTAAATAAATACATTCTTCTCTATACTCCTCAAAAACACATTAAAAAAATAAAATTTATAATTTTCCCTCTCATAAAAGCTTCTCCATCTCTATTTCTTTAAAGTACAGGGTTACAATTCTCTCAATTAAACAAGCTCAAAAGTTCGAAGTCATCTTTGATTTTTCCAGTCACTCGTGCCCTGGGCTCGTCTCTGGGGACATTAAAGTAGAGGGTTCTTTCACTCAAAGAAGACCACACCTTGGTAGCCAGTTATCAAGATGCCCCCCAACAGTCCTTTCCTCCTGCTATCCACACCTTTTTATACTATCCTCCCACATTGAATTAGGGCTGACCTGTGTGACCAAAGGAGCCCTGGTGGCGCAGTGGTTAATAGCTCGGCTACTAACCAAAAGGTCAGCAGTTCGAATTCACAGCTGCTCCTTGGAAACCTTATGGGGCAGTTCTACTCTGTCCTATAGGGTTGTTATGAGTTGGAATCGACCTGATGGCAACAGGTTTTTGTGTGTGTGTGTGACCAATAGGATACTGTAGAAGTGAGGCTGTGAGACTTCTGAAGCTGGGTTACAAACAATATTGCAGCCTTCACCTCGGACTCTGATTACTCCCTCTGGGGAAGCTAACCCCTGTATTGTGA